AATTCGAAATCTAGTTTAGATTTTGAACAGATAACTAGAGCCCGACGGACTAAAGTAGTAATGAGGCTTATTTTGTGACTGAAAGAATCCCATCATGTTGTATTGTCCTGTAAAGGTAGGTTTTCTGTATATATATCAGTGAGAAGACGAAAGTCATCTTTTTTAACTAAAATGTCTAGGAATGGTAAAGAGTTATGTTGTTCCTTTTCGATAGTAAATTGGAGAGCCGAGTGCAACGAGTTGACGTCTTGTAAGAAACAACCACATTCCTGCCCAGTTTTAAATATGGTAAATGTGTCGTCTACATAGTGTAAGTAAACAGCAGGTTTGGTAACTTTGATCTGACTCATTTTATAAGCTGTGCTTTTTCCTATAGATCATTTTCCAGACGGTTCTTCCGTGATTAGTGTCTGGCGAAAAGCTTCAGCAGATATTTCTGTTGCAACATCTCAACCAACAATTGGTCCAGTTACCAACGCTATTTTCAAGTTTTGAACAACTCGACTTTCAAGATCTACGTATCTACATGAGCCGATGTTTCCATTTATGAACATTATATTTTAAGATCTGTGCAAGAACTCAGCTAACAGATGTTTCCGTATATCAAAGCTATCTTTAATTAGCCAAAAGTTGTTAAGTATAAAACAGAACTGAATTTGTGTGTGTGTGTGTGTGTGTGTTGCCGTACATATTGGAAAGATATCGTTTTGAAATAACTGTGAGGAGTCCCCTGTCTCACCAAACATGCTCACACTTTCAGCCGTGGGGGCATTATAATGTGGTGGTCAATCCCACTGTTCCTTGGTAAAAGAGTAGCCCAAGAGTTGGCAGTGGGTGGTGTTGATTAGCTGCCTTCCCTCTCATCTTTTTCTGCTAAATCAGGGACGGCTAGTGCAGATTGCCCTCGTGTAGCTTTGAGCAAAATTCAAACCAAATCATCTACAATCTTCATCTGATGTATAGTTATGCAACTCAATACTTGAGAACACTGAAAGGAAAAGGGGTGGGGGGTCAAGAATATGAGGAGGGGAGGTCATAATCTTGTTAAATGATGTAGCTGAAAAGGAGAAATATATTATAGTCAAATGTAAATGTTTTATTTCATGATTTGTTTTGTGTGAACCGTTAAACAGCAGTTACACTGTAATGACCGTTAATACATAAGATAGTTACTCTGTAATGACCGTTAATACATAAGATAGTTACAATGTAATGACCATTAATACGTAAGATAGTTACTCTGTAATGACCGTTAATACATAAGATAGTTACACTGTAATGATCGTTA